GAAAGACGATTAAGCGTGTGAACGGCGGGTTGGGACCAAGCTGGTCAGATCTAAAACGATTTTTCAGTTTTAGTAAATTTAACAATTTTAGAGAAGTGTTACAAGTCTCCCTTGGTACTCGAAACACGTCTTGCTGAGACCCAAATGACTGTAGTACCTTCCAACCCTATTATTTCAACATTCTAAATGCAGCATTGGTTTTGAGGGAAACCCATCATTCATCGGGTAATACTGACTTTTATAGAAAATGGTAACTGTGCGGGGTAACTTGAGACACCAAATTTCATTGAATTTGACGGAAGTTGAGTGGCGTTACTTGACACTGGCACCTCCTTGTACTACAGGGTGGTTTTAAGTAACGGACCTCTCCGTTCTAAGATCAAAACTAAGCCGCATTTGATCGGGAATCACTTTTTTAGACAGTGTAGAGGGTCCCAAGTGGATATGCAGCTTCAAGTTGGAGTGTTTTCTCAACTACACACGGACCAGATGAGATATAATAAATCTTGAAGTCTCATAAGATGAGGAATTTAATTACCTTTCCAACGAGCTAAATGTCATTGAAATGGGACAACTTATAGCCCAAGAACCGTCGATTTTTGAAGAAAAACAACTGTAAAGATAGTTTGAGGATTTTGAGTAAATTTTAAAAATTGACTAAGACTATATACATTTGCAGGAATGGACTTGTGTTCGTAGAAATAAAGAAAAATGTCTTAGCAGGTGTGAGGGTTGGATGTGAGTTGAGAGAATCGCAGTACTTAGTTGACAGAGTTGGATGTGAAATGGGAGAATCATTGCGCTTCTGAAGTGCCGTTATCCCTCAAATTACCAAATGTAACTTTGATGAAAAAATCTTAATATAAGGATCAAAAATCTTCTAATACATTCCACAAGTAGTAATTTTCATTGAAAATGGGTTAAATGTCTCAGAAAATCAGTATGGACTGGCAAAAACCCCACTTCCGTGAAAAGGCAAAGTAAAAACTAGGTGAGTCTCAAGTTACCCCATATGACGGGGTAACTTGAGACAACTTTAGAGGCCCATTACTCTCATTTTAGGAGACCCCCAAAAAATTCGTTGGGTCCAAACCGAATGTAATCATGTGAAATAAAACATAGTTGGGATTCGGGTTGATGAGAGAAGTTTTGTGGACACACGGTCCAAAAAACGTGAAATATTGTCTCAAGTTACCCCGGTTTACGGTATCTGAACAAAACATAAAGCCACTACGAATAATAAGTCTGACTTGTCAACATAATTACTACTCAAATGTGAAACAAAACGTAGTTAACCGAAATACAGCAAAAAAGTGAAACTTTGCAGTAATAACATCCGAACACTTAACACTATAGAAATTTATAACGTCCATTACAAACTGCACGTTATTCAGTAGATTCATCACAACTTGAATCTAAAGACGAATCACTTTCAGAGTCAGATGTATCCTCACTGTTCTGCACCTTCTTGGACTTATTGCCCTTGGCTTTCTTCTTTTGGTAACGACTTGCAATTTGCATCATAGAGGCTGCCCTCATCTCAAGAGCTGCCACTTTGCGTTCAGTGATTGTGGGCTTTCTACTTTTCTTGCCTTTTTTTCATGTAACTTTTTTCCCAGAGTTTTTTTGAGTACTCGGCGTAGTGCTGACTTTTTAGACTTCTTGTGAGGTGACTGTGGATAAGGAAAGAAAAAAAAATAGTCGTAATACTTTGCCTCCATTAAGATGTACACAGGTGCGCAAGATAGTATTGAAACATGTCAACTTACATAAGACCTTTTAGTCATAGATTTGAATCCTACACTTACAGTTAGCTTAGGTCTTACTGAAACACTGTCACCAATGAGTTGGTGCACCATTTCCATCAGCTCACCCATATCCTTGTTTTCTATCTTGAGTATGAGGCCTTCAGCCCCTGTGCCAGCATCACCAATCAAATCACTGTATGTTGCACGGAGAGATCCAACCTTGTCCTCGCACTGCTGTGGAGAGTAATCATATCCGTGATCTTCTAAAATAACTTTGCGGACATCTGCCCAAAAGCGAGAGTGCCTGACTGGCTTGTCATAGTCTTCTTGCTTATCTAGGCACACTCCAATGAGCGCCTTGGAGCAAACCACACTCCATGATGCAACTGAAATTAACATTAAAATTAAAAAATTATATAAGACATTATTATGTCACAAACAAGAAAGCACTAAATGTGTACCTTTTCGTCCTTCATGTGACACAAACTGTGCCGGTTCCTCATCAAACTAAAGATCAGCATCAGCAGTAAGCTCATTGCTTGTTCCTTCCAGAGAGGAAACAGTCCCTTTGCCAAAGGCTACCTCTAAAGCAGCAAAGTGCTTGCATGTGTTCTTGTTTTTCCTTTTGCACTTTGAGTAACGGTTTCTCAGTTTTTCTCTTAAGTCCCTGACATTAGCGAGGGTACTGATAATGTTGTGTCTTATCAAGACACCAAGTACATTGTCGAAGCTGCCAGACACAGGAAATATGCTTTTGTGCTTGATGAGGAGCTTGATAAATGTGACAGTGCCCTCATCACTTTCTAATGACGTTAATTCATTAGCAGATAGATTGAATTCATCGTGCACAGCAGCACTGGCTTCATCTACAACAAATGACAGATCAAAACATGACCCCCACACTGTTAAAAAAGTGCTGTAAATTAACAGCACTTATGCTGTTAAGTTTGATAGCAGCACGACTTGTTTTATTACAAGCATGTTGTAGCCCTCGGTGCTGTTTTCTGACAGTTCGATTGTAATAAAACAATACTTCTTTGGAGTCTTCGACGATGTCTTCCCAACACTTTTGTTTATTTCATCGTGCTGTTATTAAACAAGACCCTTGTAACCTGACAACAATATATGTTTTAAGATTGCAAAAGGCTGTTTCTAAACATGAAACCTCTTCAACGACAACACAACTATTTTGAATCACGATTTCATTGTTGTTACTTGACAAGGAAATTGTTATGAAACGAAAGTGCTGTTTCTGGATGGGTTTCCTGTTCAGACACAAAACAATACTGCTGTTTTTTAACAGCATTACTGTAGGTGATTGTCTTGTAATATTACAGTGGATTTTTAACAGTGTACTAAGCAAAATGCATAGGATAAGAGTGACGTCGAAACTTTTACCTCTTCCAGATTGTGATCCTTTATTTGCCTACAGTTATTGTTCATTAATGCTGGTGCATTATTCTTGGTTTCATTTAGTGCTTGTTTCATTTTAAGTATTTCTGAATCAACTTTTTTAGATGATAAATCCACAGAGGCCTGTCGGCGATCTATATTTGTCTCTATCTTGGCAATTTTAGCAAGAATATCATGATGTTTCTGAATATAATCAAAAGGCAAAAAATAGTTATAAGGTATAAATCATTTAGAAGGTCGCATATACTGCAACGCCATACCTCCTCAATAAGACTTCGAATTCCAGAACAGGTTTTGCAGAACCACTCATTAAGACCTGAAAAGTTTTTAAGTCTAATGAGTTTTGGGGAATTATTAAGTGCAACATAGAGTGCGACATGACATAAGCCAACTTAGACGAAGCAAAAGTTTATATTGAGGAGCGACTAAGAAAATAGAAATTATAACCGTGCCAACTTACTATCAGCTGCATTCTTGGTGAGCCCAACACCTGGAAGTGCATGCCTGGCACACACTTGAGTGAGTAATTGCAAATTTTAGAAAACCTTAAAATAAAATTGATGTTTTCTCCATTTTCGTACGTTTCAGACACATTTTTCTAGGAGTTTGCCAAATTTTCAGCCAAAATCGAAAAAAAAAGACGAGGCCTGTTAACTTGAACGACGTCAAAATGTTAACACACAAAATTAACTTAACTCGTTAACGTTAAGGCCCTAGAACAAAACTAACGAGTTACCGTTAACTCGTTAATTAACTTTAACGGAGTTAATTAACTTCGTTAATCGTTAAATTAACTTTAACAGCCCTGCCGATAACAGTATTTTGCCTGACGATAACTATGTTTTTGGTAACCATTTTCTCAGGTCAAAAAAGAGCGACACAAGAAGTTTTTTTTTTTGTTAAATCTTTGTCAGCCACTTCGTTGTCCTCCCTCTAAGGTGTCTGGAACAAGTCGCGCTGTTCTAAATGTCATAACCTACCCTAGAGGCCCTCGAAAAGAAAGCGATGCTCTTAAACTGACTGTAACTGTATACTTTAACCTAGGTTAAAAAGGTAAATGGAAGAGTTGTTGGATTTTTAGAGTGCAAAAATGGTCAAAAAGACATTAGACGTTAAATAACTCTTTCATTTTTAATTTTAAACCACGATATTTGATAATTTTTTGTCTTCTCGAGACGAATGTAAATCTTTAAGGTGATGTGTGTTTGAAAAGTTGTTTGAAGTTTGAAAATTGACTCCAGGCGCTGTACCGCGAAAGTCCGCATAGCCGAAAATCCGCGAAGCAATCGAAAATCGAACTTCCCTGGGTTCGATGCAACTTAAGCCGATTTTCGAACCGGGTGAGAATTGGGACCGCCTCTCCACGGTTCGGAAATCGAACCCCCTTCTAACAGTGAGATTGAGGCAAAATATCTAGAAACAAGCAGTTGTCAAACTTTAGAGCAGCCTTTGATGCTTTTCAGCTGCGAAATCCAGTTGCGCTCTTGAAAAAACCAGCATGCGGGAAAGTAATACTCTGTAGACTGCCTGATGATCTAATTCAATGACAGTGCCAAGTCTGATCGCCAGATTTGCGTGTGTGAGATAAGAGTGTGCTTAGCTCTTTTGGCCGGCACTCCAACAGAACGCCCCGTGATAGAGAGAGAGGGGGAGAGAGAGAGAGAGAGAGAGAGAGAGAGAGAGAGAGAGAGAGAGAGAGAGAGAAGCAGTCTTCCGAGTCAGCGTGCAGGTGCGACGACGCGACGTAGAGCTCATGACGTTTAGGTGCGCGTCGTAAGCTTATCCAGAGCGGGGGCGCCTACTTAAGCTTGGCGAAGCCGGCTCGCCGACAGTTCCGTCATGGCTCCCGTCGTCGTCCTGCTGACGCTGCTCGTGGCCGCGGCCTGCGGGCTGCCGCGCGCCGCCAACGACGACGACAAGTACAAGCTGCCCGAGGGGTTCCTCCTCGGGGCGGGCACCAGCGCCTACCAGACGGAGGGCGCCTGGGACGAAGACGGTGCGTTTCCAGCAACTCTACAAACTCAAGTGTCGACATTGTACACTCCACCTGGAGTCAACCTAGCATGTACACTCCACCTGGAGTCAACCTGGCATGTACACTCCACCTTGCGTCCACCTAGCATGTAAACTGTTGCTGAAGTCCCCTTGCACGTAAAGCAGAGCAACAGTGTGCTTGCCGGTAAACGCCACCACGCGTGTACTTGGAAAGCATGCTCCAGTGTTGAGTGTACATGCCAGGTTGACTCCAGGTGGAGTGTACATACCAGGTAGACTCCAGGTGGAGTGTACATGCTAGGTGGACTCCGGGTGTAGTGTACTAGTCGACACTTGAGTTTGTAGAGAAGTTGGCTCGAGGGGTGAATCACAGGTGTACTCAAGTGTAAACATTACACTCAGCATACTCAAAAATTTTGGAAGAACGAAAATAATCAAATTTATACAGGGTTCAGTACTGTTTTTCGTTTGATACGCTAAAAAGGCGTAAAAACCTTAAGAAAATGACCAACTTTTGAGTATTTTCAGGTGTATTCACCTGTATACCCACGCTCTCAAGGATACACCAAAACGCTAAGTGATTCCCCTCGAGTTTGTGCACAACTATAGAAATAAACACAACGAAAGTACACACATTCCTGGAAATTTTTTATATCAGGAATTTATTGAACTTTCAAAGTACAACAATTGTTGTACAAAGTACGATGGTACCGGCATGACGAGTGCTGTGCAGTCCAGGTCTCGTTGTGTTTTGTACTGTTCTCGTTGCACTTGATGCAATCGCTGTTGTACTTTTATTGTACAGTTTTTGTTGGACTTTTTCTTGCAGTGTGGCACAGCCATCAACACTGTAGGTCTAAAGGGGATACTACAGTATCTCGCTTTTGACGATACAATTAAGTATCGCCAGCAAAGGGCCATACACAAATTCGTTGTCTTCAAGGGGGCGATACTTTGAGGAATCGCCAAACCTTTGGCAATACACAATGATGACTTCTCCAAAGTTTCTTGCTAACTTTTGGCGATACTCCAAAGAAGGCCCGTTGCTTCGTCGATAATTTTGTTTGTCGCCTCTTCAAAGGCAAGATTTTCTTTATGGCCCTCTTTGTTGTGGATACACCATTGTATCGTCAAAAATGTACTCAACGTATCGCCTTTCGGTTTAGAGTGACATAAAGCCCCAGTTTATGTTAACGTCACAATGAATCGCCATTTTGGACATATGTTTGTAGCTGCGATATATTTAACCGTTTTGTAATTTGATTTTTTTTTTAGGAAAGGGAGTGAATGTGTTGGATCATTATTATCACTCCCATAACACTGCCAAGAACCTGACGGGTGACGTGGCCGCCGACTCGTACCATCGTTACAAAGAGGACATCGGCATAGCAGCGGACCTTGGCGTAAGCACACTCTCAGCCTTTTATTGACTTTATCCGACTATTTCTCATTAGCCGACGCATTTCTAGAAGTAACCACAACACTTAGTATTTCGTTCTTAAATACCTAAAAATTTCATTGTAATCTACTTGGGCTAATCCAGGTCAACTTGAACGGGGTTTGACCCCAACCCCCTCAGAACTAGCTCCAAATTTGGAGCAAGTAAGGGAGTATGGGGCGATTTGTAACAGATTTCGGAATTCTCTATACAAAATTAAGAACATTCTGCATATCGGTGTCAAACTTGTGTCAGTTGAGCAGTCTGGCCCTTCATCTGGACTGTGCAGCTCCATTGGATCAATCTGGAATCCGTAATCTTTGAAATCTAAGACGTTTTCCAAACCCTTGCATGATGTTACAAATCGCCCCAGCATGGGGTGATTTATAACAGCCATAGGGCTTTTCATAACATCCTACACATTAAATGAAACATCGTCAGGAATGTTATCTCCTCCACCAGTTGTTCTTCGGGTGTCCTGCAGACGTCTAAAAATCTACATTACAAGCTGCCGTTGACCGCCTCAGCATTAACTGATAGGCTATGTCAATCCTAACCTTACTTTTTTTAATTTTAGAGGAAAGCATAGAATAACTCGCTTTAAAATGCATTTCGAGCTGTGCAAATGTATTGGAATAGAACAGCAGATGATTCGAGAAATAATTCAAGCATTTAACAGCAAAAACCACTTAATTTCTTGTTTTTATACGGGTCTGTTACGAATCACCCCAAATGCGTGTTACGCAAGACATCCGTCCCCAACTATCACTGGACAAAGTAAAAGCTACTTATGTCACGTGTTTACATTGTAAAGGGGTCACGCTTCAAGGCCCCAACGGTACTTCGATGGTGATTCATACCTGGAGAGCCTCAGACAGAAACTTCCTAGAACTCAAAATAAAATATTTGCCTGTTTGCCGAAATTTCGGTGTACTCTATATTTCAGACGCCCTCCAAAACTATACCTGAGCACCGATCACATCCGCTTCGATTGTTCAAGGGCCCTGTACTTGAAGCGAAAGAGGGGCCATACTCAGATTTTCCTCTGCTCCCTCCACTCACTGTTACAAATTAGCTCCGAAATTTTATGGAGAAAAACCCTATAATCACGTACATGGAGACTCCATTCATTTTCCATCTTTTTTCGGAGAGATTTTCTCAGGGCTTAAACAGATTTTCTTCGGAGCATTACTTGGGTCCTAATGGGAGTTAAAATGCATGTCCTTTCTCAGAATGGTTAAAGAGGGCTTCGCTGAAGCATTCTTTAGTCTGAAATGGTCAAAGAAGGGACAACCTTTCCCTTAATATTGTGAAAACTGAGGTAAACAAGTAGGGGTTGACCTTTCCCTCATTTTTTAACTGGTTGAAAACCTTTTTTCGTGTTTTCGTGATAGTGAAGCATGCGTTTTTGTTAGAAATTCCGAAAATTTTCGGAGAAAGCCCAGAATTTGCATTTATGGAGAGCTCCATGCAAAAGTTTCGGAAAAACTCCATGATTTTTCCATTTTTTTTTTCGGAATTTTCTGACAGTGCTTAAATTAATAAACGCATTTGTTACGAATCGCCCCTGTTACAAATCGCCCCATACTCCCTAAGTCAAACCCTGTTCAAGTTGACCTAGATTCGCCCACTTAGAAAATGGCAATGTCATAGTACAGTTATTGAGAATTGCTCAGTAATGGTTGCTTACAGAAATGCGTCTGCTAATGAGTAGTCAGTAAACGGCTGAGAGTGCAGAGTGTGCTGGCGAAGCGCAAAGTACATTTACTTTACTGGCAAAACTCTGCTGACTCAAGTGTGCCCGTACACACTACATTACTATGCAGTTTCTAGTGCATAAGCTATGCATGAAACTGTACATGCTTTTCAAAATGCAGGAATTTTATGCGCAAAAGCGCACATTTTCGTGCGTCGTTGCACACAGATTCGTGTATTTAGTAACGCATGCAAAGTTTCGTGCATAGCTTATGGACAAGAAACTATTCATTGTAATTTAGTGTGCATGCCTGCAAATACTCCACCTGGCTCCAACCTGGCATAATGCGCACTGTACCTGGAGTCAACCTGACACTCCACGCTGGAGCATGCTCGCCAAGTACACGCCAGATGGCACCTGCAAGTACACTGTTGAGCAAGTTCCCTACGTTTTGCATAGAAGAGCAACAGTGTACTTGGCAAGCATGATCCAGCGTGTAGTGAACATGTCAAATTGACTTCAGATAGTGTGCATGCCAGGTTGACTCCGGACGGAGTGCACCTGGAGGCATCATTGCATGCTCATCATTGAAAAGTCAATTGTTTGAACCAAACAATACCGTCAGCTAATCGATAATATTTTTATTTTTTTTGGCAGTTTAATGTGTTCCGATTTTCAATATCCTGGACAAGGTTATTACCTGATGGGAGAACGTCAAACGTCAACGCAAAGGGTGTTCAACACTACCATGACCTTCTAGCCGAGCTCAAAGCCGAGAAAATTGAGCCCCTAGTAAGTTTTGAATACACAAACAGGACTGTGCTGCACTGGTGAAACAAAGGCATTAAAAATATGCCCTTTAAGGGCGTAAACGATTTTGGCCCTTAAAGGGCATAAATCGTTAATGCCTTCGGGAAGGGCATAAAAATTTTGCTTGAAATTCCTTTATCATTTACGCCTTTCCCACGGACATAAACGAATTATGCCCTTGCAAGGGCGTAAGAAAGTATTTATGCCCTTAAGGGCGTAACTTTTATGCCTTTGTTTTACCAGTGTGCGCTGCCTACTTCCTTACACGAAATTACGATGCACTTTTTGTGCTCAAGCTTTGCACAAAATTGAGCACGCGTTTTGATATGTACGAAATTTACGCGCAACAATGTTCACTTTCGTGCTTAGTTATACTCGCAAATTCGTGCATTTCAAAACAAATGCTCAATTTTGTGCGAAGCTTGTGCACAATCAAAGTACTATGTGAGCCAAAAGAACCCGACCGCTCCGGCCGGGGTTCTCGGGTCACAGCGTCTAAACCGTTCAATTTGGAGGGGTATAGTAAGCGAGCCGATTGTTCCTTGCATAGAGACCTACAATCGGCTCGCTTACTATACCCCTCTAAATTCAACGGTTTAGACGCTGTGGCCAGAAAACCCCGGCCGGAGCGGTCGGGTTCTTTTGGCTTACATAGTACATAGAGTGCATGCGCAACTTTTGTTCCGTTGTCTAGATAACAATGTGTCACTTCGACTACCCTCAAGTCTTCGAGGACGAGTTCGGAGGATGGCTGGGCGATGAGATGCCAGACGTGTTCGCAGAGTACGCCGACTTCGTCTTCAATGAGTTCGGCAGCGAGGTGAGCCAGTGAACCGTCTCGTGAACTCCAGTACACTTCGAGAAATAAAAAGTGCGGCATACATCGACGCCCATAGCAGACAAAACCCATTCGGCAATGGGTTCTGACCCATTTTAAAAGGATTGAAACCCATTCGGAATGGGTTGTGACCCGTTGGGAATGGGTTACAACCCGTTTGGAACGGGTTGAGACCCATGGGGAATGGGTCGTGACCCATCGGAGATGCGTTAAAAAACCCATTGAAGATCGGTCGAGACCCATTGAAGATGGGTTGAGACCTATTGGATATGGATTAACAAAATCTTACGAGACCCAATGTTTTTTGACGTCCATCTAGTCTTTACCCACTTTCATTGTAAAAGGCGTAATTAGAAAAGTCGCGCCTCCCAATAGAAAAGTCTTAACTGCCAGTGCGGCTTTAAGACAATCCTAACCACCAGTGTCACATGTCGTAGAAAGCGGCCTTTTGTCAAATTCCATGACGCCGACACACTATGCTATGCATACAACCGGGCCGTTTTTACTTTTGTCCGTTACCGTTAACATGAGTTAATATATCACAAGGACGTACCGTAAATGCGGGTAATATGGACCACCAGTGGGTAATGTGGACCACCCCTGAAATTCTTCTAAATGATCGATTCGAGCCAAGTAACTTTCAAGTTCGGATGCTAGCAGCCGAAACGGTTTTCCATGCCACAGGTAGGCGGCATCACCGATCACACACAAGAGTTTAAGGGGTGGTCCACATTACCCACTGGTGGTCCATATTACCCGCTTTCACGGTACCGTACCTTTTTCCGTTCCCTATTCCTCTCTTCTGTGTCTTTTCCGTACCAAAGAACGGAATATTTTTCAGTGGTCAAAAGTTAGACAACTCCATTTTGCAGGTCAAGTACTGGCTGACTCTCAACGAGCCGGCATTCTATTGCACGAGGCTGAGCAAGACCAAATTTGTACCGCCCTTCTCCTTCGATACTACGGAGCGACAGAACGCTTGTATCAAGAACAGTATCTTGGCTCACGCCAAGGCGCATAAAATTTACGAGGAGAAATACAAGGCCAAGTTCAAAGGTAGGTGACTAACAAAAATGCTTGCTGGAATGGGCCCTTTCAGGTTACTGTAAAGTGAAAAAATGTGAAATATTATTTTTCAAAATAATTGATCCACGAAGCGGAAGAAGGGGTTAAGTCGAGTTGATTCAGTGACGAAAATTTGGTCCAAAAATAAGTGTGGTGATACACCTCCCATCCTGTTGCATCTATTTGTAGATGACATGCCCCACCTGTTCTTCCACCTGCAAGGTTTAGGCCTTCCAAAAGTGCACGGATTCAACTCAACTTATTCCCTTCTTCCGCTTCCTGGATCAATTGTGGCATCATGTTTGTATTGCGGTTTCTAGTTGCTTACTTTCAGATGAACTTAAACCCCAAGTTGAGGCACCCAACTCCCATTGGTTTCTGAGTCATTGAAGTTTACGTAACAAATTTAGTTACTGGCCCAAATTCTCCTTGCGATGAACCATAAGTTGTCGAGACTTGATTTTTGTTTTACAAGCTCTTTATTGATTTGCGTATCTCGTAACAAAGCCGGATTTCCAAATTTCCAACATAAAACAGAAGTTTTCCTCAAAAAAAAATTTTTTTGCCAAAATTTTACTAAATTTAGTAAAAAAAATAAAAACACATTTTCCAAAAAAAAAATACGATTTCAAGAAATCCTAGGAGTCACGAAGTCAATTTGATTATTGTGTAAGAGTGTGGAGAAAGAAAAGAAGTGGTGTTGTGATTGTGGCTCAGGGGACTACCAATGGCAGTGGTACCAATGTGGTCGATGTGCCACCCGTCGAAATTTAAACTTGACAATAAATAGAAATCAAAATGCTGGTAAATTCAAAAAATTCCAATGCTAATGTATTCCGCAGTGTTCTGACAATGGAACATCTTTAAAGTCCATCATTATTAAAATGTTCTTGGCAGAAAGAAGGCAGTAAATTAATTTTCACGGGTTGGCAACTAGTTTCTCGGCGTCTGCGCCCTTGCGAAAATCGCGAAGCTGAAAGCACCAGCAGTCGCGCATTAAAACTGCCCATCCATTGTTGCTGACGTTGAATTGTTTGGCTTGTTTCAAAAGGCTATGGTTCTCTAGTCATGTTTTCTTCAATTCTGTGTAATAGTTCTCCCTTACAACGTATCAACACCACGACGGTTGGTTTGACAAACTTCATAAACTCGGGAGGGATGGTTTCGAAACGCGGGTGAGTCTTGTTCGAGGAACATGAGCACTGCAAGTCGCGAGGTGGAGCGAAGTGGTCCTAGTGCTAACTGAATCACAACAACAACAAAATTGTTTTATTGACAGAAAAAAAAGGAATATTTGAGAAACTGTATGTCAGAAAAAAAGAACTTTTGTTTTGCTAATTTTCTGTGAATATTTTTTTAGAAAGTTATCACACAAAAATTGAAAATTTGTTTTATATGAATTTTCATGAGCAGGAAACAAAGAAAAAACAAGAAAGAGAGCAAAATTAATACAGATTTCAAATGCTACAGTTGGTTAAACTGTTAACAGGTTGCAAACCTACTGCGCATGTCCAAAAACACTCCAATCAAGAAGTATTATTGGATAGTTCTACCCGAAAAACTGCGTTCGAACCGACACCAATTCTATTGTTGCATCTTGTCTACCTGCAGTCAAAGAAATTTTTCATTTCGAACGTGCTGATTTCAGCTTTTGGAGTAAGCTGTACAGACCCGAAAAGAAGCTCGGCTATTGGTCCGCCCCGGCTCGGCTCCCCCAGGCGCGGCTCCAGACTAAACCTGACGGGGGGGTCGCTGGTCACTCCTGATGTCAAAAACCTCGATGAGGCAGGCCGAAGCGCGATTTCGACGCCCTGCGGGCGTCGAAATCGCGCTTCGGCTCAGCCCGAGGGGGGGGTCGCGACCCCCGAACCCCCCCCCTGGAGCCGCGCCTGCTCCCCCCACTCCCTATTTTTTCCTTTGACGAGTCGAGTTTTGCCATGGAAACGACGATTTTGACAGCAAATTTCTCAAAATTGGCCACCAACTTTTTAACCAGATTTCAGCATGAGAATCAGCGTTCAAAGTTCTACAAGTCTGCAAAGTCTCATTAAAATCGTATAGAAAATTTCCGAAATGCATAAAGGGCCACACAAATTGAATCTCGGGCCGGCTGAATCCTGGGTATACTATAAGGCTACTTCGTGCCTAAAAAACAATTCCGGCTGACCATTCGTGAAATTCGCCTTTGCTAGGCTGTTTGCAAGTCCATTAGGCCGTAAAATGAAAAAATCACACCTCGCACGTTGCTCTGTGACAGTGACAGATTTAGATGTCTCACGAAGTATTCAGATATTAGCAATGCAATTCCTTGGCAATTGTAAATCAGACCAACTCGTTTGCAAGGTTGAAGTTCACAAGGCGTGGGCTCAGATCCGGGAGCAGTGTCAAATCTTTCACGTTTCGTTTTACCGTGTGAAACGTCTCGTTGTCAGCAACTCATACATGATTTGGATGCAGGTTTGGTTGGATTCAGCTCCGGTCCCATTTTCTTCCGGTCCGCGAGCGATGCTCCGGAGGACATCGCGGCCACCGAGGCAGCCAACTCCAACACTGGCATCGGGCTGACCGTGGACCCGCTGGTCTTCGGCGACTACCCGGAGGGCGTTCGGACAACCCAGAAGGCCTTCACGGAGGAAGAGAAACTTCTCATTAAAGGTGAGAATACAACGCGTTCCAGGGCGTTGATACAACTTTCCTTGAAAACGAGCATGGCGCACTGTAGCAAAAAGCTACCCAAAACTCTGTGAACAGCTTGTGGTAATGGCCACTTCTAGCGGGACCTGAAGTGAAGAAAATGAATAAGAGCTGAAGCCGGGAACAGCTGCGAAATGACGCCTATTTATTGATGACGAGTGTTTATTCTCAATACAAAAATTTAAGAATGCCTAATTTTATAATAGTATCTGATTTAAACCTGTCACCCCCCCCTCCCCCCAAGAAAGGCCGATTTCTTGAACTGTTTCTATTCCATGTTCTTCTTGATCTCCACACTGTTAAAAACGGTTGCTATATGACAACAACACTATTACCAATTTCTACAACGCTGATGTTTTAAAACATATTTTCTCGTTTTTGACGAATTTGTTGCTAATTATTTTTCTGACTTGTGCTGTTTGAAAACAATCTTATGGTGTTCAAACAACCCGAACAATCTAACTAGAGACTTCTACAGGTCAGCGGGACTTTCCTAGGTCTGTGACTGAATCGGCAATCAAAAACGGTTTACAAACATCTTGTTAACTAAGCAAGTCATCTGTTATCAACTTTTTGTCATTCAGAAAATTAGCAACATATTAACTGCTGAGTTACAACACTATTTTTAACAGTGTAGGTCGTACGGAGAATCTTGGCAAGAAATTAATCGAATTTTCCCAATTCCCTACTGAGAAACGCAGTGCAGTCATAATACTTAGCTCATTCTCAGTACTTTACGACACAAATCTGTCATAATACAGAGAAATGTGTTGATGATATGAAGAAAGTGGTCATAAGTTACTGAGAGCTCTTCCCCGCAGATTACTACCTTCGCTCCGCAGTCATAATGCTAAAGCTTTTTGTTCGTATTACGAAGAAAAAGCTCAGTAGGATATTGGGAGTGTGAAACGACATCCAAGCGAAACGAATGCGACATGAGACTCAATCGAACGTGACGAAATTATGACGTCACATTTGTTGCATAACAGTGGAAGTGATGTGACTTCGAACATATCTCAGCAAATGTGCGCTATGTTTCTCTTGTTTTGCTTCGAAGGACGAATCGACTTCGTTGGCATCAACATTTACGGTGGCAAGAATACGAGCGCGTCGGACGATGGAGGCGGTGGCGGTGGCAACAGTCCAGACGGCATGGGCGGACCTGTAAGTAGACGTAGTTGGTTTACACTTGTCAGGGCGGATTCAGAGACATCCGAACTGCAGTGCAGAGGTACCTAAAAGTGTTAATGAACTATCCTCACTGCACATCAGTGCATCTCAAAATCTCTGTAATACAATATCGACGTATTTACATAAGGACGAAGCTTTGAAACAAGCCCTTCGGCGAGTAATTTTGTGAATTATGAAGGCGTCACGGACTTAGAGAAATGAGCGCTTTTCACGTGATGTGCAGTTAGAGTAGCTCTGAATTGACACGAACACTTAGGATTGTTTTGGATCTACACTGGTAAAACTAAAGCGTAGTATTTACAAGGTAGGTGTACGCCAGACTGTGTCTTGTCGTAACAGGCTTCGCGATGCTGCGCCAGTTTCGACAATCCACGCCTGGCGTATACACCTACCTTGGCCTGCGGCGCTAACCTGCCTTCGGCAGGCTGCCTTCCTTGGCTGACCGTGGAAATGGGCGTGATCTCCTCAAAAAATGCATTTGGTCACCTAAATCTACACTAATGGGGCTTAACTTCCGGTCGGAGGTCTGAATGGGTTCTATTTTCGTCACCAGCAGCCTCAAAAACATTTAAAACGACATTGAACTTGACAAAAAGTTGAAAGTACCAAAAAAGTTGTCTTTTTCCTGCCGTTTTTAGAGTGTTTTTTGGCTAATATGACCGAATGGATTGAGATAGAAAGCTGAATTTTGGTGTGTGGCGAGCCAAGGATATGCCTGGGTGATTCCGCGCGTAGAGGGCGTTTCACTGTTAAAAAAAGTCTGAAAATTCAGACCAATTTTTTCAGACCCAGTGGTCTGAATCTGAAATTCAGACTTGAGTCAGAATTTTCAGACAGTTGGTCTTAATTTTACACCTTGTGGTCTGAAAAATGAGTTGCGGACCCAAGAGTCTGAATATTTGGATGGCGCGGTATAATTTTTCGGCGTCGGGGTCTTAAAACAGTCATTTGTAGTAGAAGGTCTGAATTTTCATCCTGCGCAGTCTGAAATTGACGCTTTCCGTATTTTCTGATAAAAGGCATGACTGCGTTTCAGGTGCTATGGACCCTGAATTGCTAGAGCAGTAGTAAACAGAATTTTGCTCAGCTAAGCGAACGGCCGTCTAGGGTTGAGTTTAAAATCATCCTGCACTCCGCTGGTAGCTGCAGGATGCGACACGTTTGCCCTGGTTACGGCCTGGACCGAAGCCCGGGTCACCCGAGCCGAGCCGAACCGCTCGGGCGGCGGCCAGCCGAGCCAGGCACACCGAGCCGAGCCGGGGCGTTCGGAAAATCACCGCGGACCGGCGTGCCGGCCGAAGCCTACCTGCGCGGGGCGGGGGGAGAGGAGGGGGCCCTTAATCCCTCGGCCACTCGGGATTTCTGGACACAATGCGTCAGTTTTAGCTTGTCTCCAGAGCAGTGCACGTCGCATCCGAATACAAGTCCGCGTCGCGTGTCATCTTTCTTGTGACGCTCCGTCGTGAAGCAACGTTTTATGTGTTACATCGGCGCTCAGCACAGTGTGTACAGTGCCGGTTTGCCTTCGCCTTTCCGTGCTCCAAAATTGCTTCTGGGTGCGTGCAGTCACCACTCTGAAGCATCCGAAATCCGCGGCCAGCAGGCTGTGAAAGTGGCGTAGCCTTATACTGATATTGCGTCTTCCAAACTAAAGGGACGGGTGATGAGCGAGTGGGTGGCGTTTTGGAAATTTGTCACTCCTCTTTCATCCTCGTCCCCAAAGTATCTTCATCGTGCCGAAAAAGTTTCCACAAAGTGTACATCTGGATCCAACATGCTGCTTTCCAGTGTTTACAGCTGCATCTTCTGGAGTCTTACATTCGAGAACTAGTTTTTTTGGGGGGGAAGCTCTCTCAGCAAAATATCATATCTAGTTAAAGCTTTGCGCAACTTTGGGTGCTACATTTAACAACAAGAGCTGTTTTACAACTGCTCTATTTAGTGCATGCATTCCATGTTTCTCAGCAATTTGAAACATGCATCTCCAAAACATAATATACATCCTGACAAAAGTGGTAATTTTATTACCTGGGCGGCTTAGAATTCAAACCCGCGAGGTGAAAAATTCAGACTGCCATTAGTGCGAAAATTCAGACTACCTGGTAGTCGTAAAATTCAAAGTACATGCTAGTCTGAAAATTCAGACGACAGGTGGTCCAAAAATTCAGAGTGTCCGGGGGTCTGAAAATTCAGACCACTGGGTTTCAAAATTGACTTCATCCTAAAAAGTCTGAAAATTTCGACTTTTTTTTTAACAGTGTTTCGTGTCCACACCCTCCCCAGACCGAACTTATTCGAGTGCAGTCCATTTATACACTTAAGAATCTTGTTTGGCACTAGAATAGCTTGTTCCCTTTGTATACGGACTTTCAAAGCTAACATGTGACGCGGGGGAGGGGCCAAAAGGGTCGATTTTGTAAGTTCCGTCATGTCCATTCGCACCTTACACCAACTTTGCGGCTCTATAACCCTTCGTTCCATTCAAATCTTCGAATTCCACACACACCCATCAAATCTCTAACTAAAAGTGACTATCTTGCTTGAATTTAAAGATCGTATATTGACTGTAACGGTACTTTCAGAACGCGTACCAAATGTCCACCGTACTCCGACTTTTACCTTAGCGGTTTCAAAGTAAGCGCCAAAAAAACTACTAGGAGTGCTCCCAGCTCAAAACCACCGCCGTATTTAGAATCAGCACGGTCTGTTTACCATGTGAACGAGTTTCGGTGACGAAAAAGTGAGGGGGGTGAGGTGCGAGTGGAAGTTGTGTGTGAAATCGGGGGGTTTTGTAACAATTGCTGAAATTTTCCCGTATGCCCCCTCGCTCCTCGTCCATTGGGTTTTGAAAGACATCCTACACGTAAAAAGATGTGCCTTGACGTCAAACTAGTGTCCCAAAAACTTATGGCATATTTCTGTGGCGATATGCATTTGCAGTGAGCCAGAAACACCTGTTTGTAATTTCCGTGAAGCGTAATTTCCGTCATATTTTCAGTTAATTTCGTCATATTTTATAGGGGGGGGAAAAAAAACGAAAGTCAATTTTTAGCTCGCCCACGCTCAGAGTGTCTTCCGGGGGTTTCAATTGATGCCATCTGGGCCCAAAATTTCCGGCCAAACAAGCAAGATTGATTTTTGACTTTCGAAGGTGGCTAAAAGGCCTCTACGCAGGGAATCACCGCCTAATAAACCCTGAAACATCTCAGCAGAATCGGCCGAGCCGTTTAGGAGAAGTAGTGCGGACACACAGACACACACACACACACACACACACACACACACACAAAAGACATGAAAAACTTTTTAACCCCACTGGAGTAACAGGCTTCGCTATCGCTCAGCCAATTACCCACTGTTTTCAAGCGTAATCGCTTTCCGCTTGAAATTAAGCGTAACAGGCTCATCCGCCAACATTCCCCCTATCTAAATGCATGGGGGGGGGGGGGAATTTCTCGTCTATGCTTGATTTCAAGCGTAACGTCTTCAAGCGTAACTTCATGCTTGACTCAAGCATAGAGTTACGCTTTAGTTTTACCAGTGTACCCTGGCAACTTGGATGTTTCTCTGAGGACGCGTCGAAATGATGGTTTCTGTTTGCAGGAAGACGCTTGGGTCCTGCGCCAGATGCCACTGTGGATAAAGAACCGGTATGACTCGGTGAAGGAACTGCCTGTCTTCATCACTGAGAACGGCGCCAAATCCACCGGGCCGGCGCTACAGGACTGGGACAGCCGTGCCGTGTACTGCAGCGTGAGTGTCGAGAAAAGGCGGGCGTTGGCATTGAATGGCGCAGGGAAACACATTTCAGTGGCGAAGCGGAAAAAGGGGATAAGTCGAAAAACACGTTTTTCAGGAGAGGCGAAAAAATGTTCCCGTATAAATTCTATACTTCGGGTGCGCCATCTTGTTCGTTTTGGCAATGCTGATCAACGTAGAAAAAGTCATTTCAACAAAGCGTTAATGGTTTTGTAGATATGTCAAGACTCTGACTTATCTCGTTTGGTCGCGCCGGTCAAAACGAGACAAGTCGACTTGTCCCACTGCCCACTCACCCCACCCAACGAGTTATTTCGATTTATCTTTCCGGACCTGAGAGCACTTGGAGCTATGTCGACTTATCCTCTGCGCATTCACGCGCTGAAAGAGTTAAGTCGATTTAACTCTCTGAAGCTTAAGGTTTTTAGGGACATGTCGACTTGTCCCTTGTACACTCATGCACTCTATGAGCTAAGGACTTATCTCTGGGGTTTTTTTCCCCGTTGGGGTTATGTCGATTTGCCCCCTTTAGCAAATAAAATTGTTTGAAAGATTAGGAGATAAGTCGCGTGTGTTTTGGGTACGAAGAACTATAAGCAATTCGTTAGAGGAAAACAATGCTCCTCAATTTTAGTCAAAGATTACCGTGTTTTTTTTAAAAATTTCTAAGTATGCAATGCGAAAGAGTGACAGTTCACCTGCCAAAAAAAAGGGAAAAAAAAAACAAGCTTAACGTGACACTTTTTTTAAAAATTAAAATTGTCTAACATAATGCATTATTGAACATGCCTTATATTTAGATATTGCAAAGACACTGAAAAGCCAGTGGTAAGTTTGCTTGCCAAAAATTTGGCAAGCCGTTTTGAATGCCAAAATTTGGCAAGCTTTGGTCGGCACTCGTCATGCTTCCCAAAATTTTTGGCAAGCTGAGGAGTAATTCCGGGCTGGGGAGTATTTCCGGCCCAAGTTTCCCAAATTTTTTTGCACTCAAAACGGCTTGCCAAATCCGTGGCAAGGAAACTTACTACGGGATGACAGTGAAACCTGCAGACTTTGCATTCAATCAACTGACTTAGAAGTATGTGTATTTTCTGGGGCACGCAAGCCTTGTGTTTAGCATAAATTTCCTTCTTTCACCACAAGGCTGCGCGGGGGGGCCCAATCACATTTAAAAATATAAATATAGTACTCTTTAAACAGTTGTTGCCGGTACTGGGGCGGGGGGACTCGGCGCAGCGTTCTGTCGCGGTAGCAGCCGTGCGCCGTAATTTGACACTGCGAGATAAGCCCGCCACGCGCCGCGCTCTCCCGCCCGGCCGGCCTGCTCGGTGCGTGTCTGAGTGTCACCAGTTTGTCCGACTGGCCAGCAGGCGGGGAGACCGGGTCGAGAATCTCTAGGTCGTCTATCTGGTATGGGTCTGGAGCCATATAATTATGTTTTTTTTTAATTTATGATAGTTTTGGGTTTTACTTTGCCCTTTGTGTTAGTTTAAACTTTGTAAAAAATAGACTGTTACACCAATTTGAACAAATTTCATTGCCATCGAATGTTGTGATTTCGGCGAGGACCGCCTGCTGAAGGCAGAGGTCTCCCCGCCTGCTGGCCTGGCCGGGGGAATAAGGGACCGGTCCCCAGTGGCCGCGTCCCCCTCGCCACTCCACCCGCCGCGCTTCGCCTGGCCGTCCTGACGGCGCTCTCGGTGCGTGTCTGCGTGTCGCCAGTGTGTCAAACTGTCTTCCGATTCATACCGCACCGCTCAGCATTTCGCGTCTCGAGACCAGCTTGCCGGGCCTGGGGGGCCACGGCTGCCGCCGCGCGTATGGTGGAAGCGCGTACCGAATGGAAGACCAAAACGAGAATTTTTTTTAGGTGGTAACAAGGTGGCTTCTAGTCAAGTTATTAATGTTCAATACAGTTGATTACAGCTCAACAGAAAAATTTTTGTTCAAGCGCCTACCTCTATTTGCCTCGGGCAGTCCCCGGGTTTTTAAAAATTGATATTTTTATTTTTTTCAAACTAAGACGTAAAAACCTGGCGGGCGCGGAAGCCACAGCCGTGGCGCGTTTTCCACCGCGTGCTTGATGACGCGCCCCCTGACTGAGTGTTGTGACTGCCGTATCGCAACACGCGAAACTAAAAGGGTTGCCGCGCAGGCCCTGAAGAGGGAGTAAAGAGGAACAGGCACGGAGGCAGGGCAGGAAGAACGGAGACGGAGAGGAGACAAACGGAGAGAAACAGGCGCGACAAGCAGGTAGAAAAAAACGTGCATGATTAGGCCCTTTTCTTTGGCCCTGGTAATAACTTCAAAGAATTTTACACCTGATGTGAACGCTTATTACATTTTTTAAAGTTTTGTTAATTCCGTTGACGACCGCCAGGTGAACTGGTGGGAACCCCGAGCAAAGTGCATCATCAAGTCTGACACTGCGATGCACCTGGTTTTCCCTCCGGCATACGCCTCGCGCCTTCGTCCAGCCGCAGCCGTGGCCAGGGGACGGGACGCGAAATGCTGAGCGGTGCGGTATGAATCGGAAGACAGTTTGGCACTGGCGACACGCAGACACGCACCGAGAGCGCCGTAAGGACGGCCAGGCCGGTCGGAGCGTGGAGGTGGAGTGGCGCGGGGGACGGGAGCCCCGGGGGGGCCGATCCTTTTTCCCCCGGCCAGGCCAGCAGGCGGGGAGCCCTCTGGACGTTGAGGTTCACGGTTCGGTAAAATTACGGCGCATCGTTACAGGCATCGACGTGAAAATTGGAGACGCGTTACAGAACAAGATTACCTAAAAGGGGGGCGGTCGCCAAATTTTCCCTACCTTGCGCACAGCCGCTCTGAATGCGGCTTAACTTCATTCAAAATTTCAAAGCTAGAAATTTAACGCATCAAATTTTCCCGGGGAAAAACTGACCCGACCGTAGGCGAGGATGACTCTTTAGGAAGGCACGTGCAAAGTTTCAGAATTTTTGGTCAAGGCGTTTGCGAGAAAACAAAATTAACGTATCGGTCTACATCGCCTCCCGAGGCGGCGCGCTCCTTCCAGCGCGCTCGGCAAGGCTCACTTTAGCCTCCTCTCCACGATGCGCGCGGTCGGCGGCACCAACTCTGCGGCACGCGCCGCGTGCCTCGGCTACTCACGGCCAGCCGCCCAAGCCAGCCGGCAAGCAGGCCTCGGGGCGCGAAACGCTGAGCTGGGCAGAATGAATCGGAGGACAGCCCGACACACCAGTGTCACGCGGACATGCACCGAGAGCGCCGACAGGACGGCCGGGCGAAGCGCGGCGGGGGGGGAGTGGTGAGGGGGGGCGCGGCCACTGGGGACCGGTCCCTTATTTCCCCCGGCCAAAAATCCGTGGTGAGGCTCAACCTGCGGAGTCCTAAAAGTACTGCAACAGCGGTGAAGATTTGACCGCACATTTCTACACTGTTAGAAATTAGCTCCGAAATTTTATGGAGAAAAACTCTACAATCACGTTCATGGAGACTCCATTTATTATCAACCTTTTTTTCGGAGAGATTTTTTCAGGGCTTGAACAAATGTTCTTCGGAGCATTACTTCGTTCCTGATGGGAATTAAAATGCACGTCTTTTCTCAGATATTTGAAAGAGGGCTTTGCCGAAGCATTCTTTGGTCTGAAATGGCAAGAAGGGACAATCTCTTTCGAGCCCCTTTTGGGGCCTCGAGATCCAGGTATCCCTCATGAAAACTGAGCTGAACAAAATAGAGATTCACCTTTCCCTCATTTTTTAATAGGTTGCAAACTTTTTTTCGTGATCTCCTGACAGAGAAGCAGGCATTCTGGTTCCAAATTAAAGAAACTCTTCGGAGGAAGCCCCGAGTTTTCCTTTACGGAGATCTCTATGCTGAAGTTTAGGAAAAACATGATTTTTTCCCTTTTTTATCGGAAATTTCTGACAGTGCTGTCTTTAACGCAGAATTTGGGAAAATTTTGACACTTTGTGTAAAATTCAGCAGAGGGTTTTAAATGTTTAATGTGTAGTGGGTTCAGAACTCACTAGAAATGACCCGACGTGTACAACCCATTTTGAATCCAGCGATGACCGCAGATTGTGACCGTGAACTGAACGAAATTGTGGTATACAGAAAGTCCTGACCAAACCACTGACAGACCCTTTTATTGGCCAGCGCCCGCACTCGGGCCCCCGACATCTGCTTATTCTGCACTTGGTGTCGCGTTCCGTCCCGCCTGGCTGCTGCACGGTAACAACGGAAAATGGTTTTCCCAGGAAGCCTATGGTGAAGACATAAGCGATTTCCAGAGAGTTCCTGGGAAAATCAGGTTCCGTTTTTACTGTGTGGGTAAAGTAGAACGCCCCTAACACGGGGCTCGGTAGGGACTGCAGAAGCCACATAATTTGCTGACAAACAAAATGCAATTTTCTAAATGAGCTCTATGAACAGGGGCAGAGACACAGCTAGCCGAGTCGGTTAAAACCACCGAACCGCCATTAAAATTAAAAAACGAACGTGTCCTCTTTACGCTACTTTCAAACTCTAAACCTCCGTTTTCGTTCTACAAGATACCTGATCGGCCATTTTCAAGAATCGAAACTATTTTCCCTTTTTTCTTCCTAGGAATGAATTTGTTGGTATGAGCATGAGTCTTGCATCGACCGAACCCGAATCGTACCGCGGGAACGGTTTAGCCACCGACCAGCTTGCTTCGGCCATTGCCATTAGCAATCGTCACCAAATCGTTCGGTACGCCTCATTGTCGCGCGGAATAAAGTTTGCAAGGCCACAGATGAATGTTTACAACGAAAGAAAAAAAATGTTTCTGCCGGGAATCGGAGCCGGTCCCTTGGATTTAGAGCCAGAATCGGAGAACGACGTCTCTCTCTTGCATGACAGGAGCGTCCGTCTGTGCCAACGATAGATAACAAGTCGACATTGTTCTAGGGAGTTTAGCTCGAAAGAGTTAAATTGACGTAACCCGCACAGCGCTTAAGTATGCAGAGGATAAGTAAACATAGCGCCAAGTGCTCTCAGGTACTGAGAGATAAGTCGATTTAACTCGTGGAGGGTTAAAAAGTGCAATGAGACAAGTAGACTTGTCTCGTTTGGACAGCCGCGTCCAAACGAGATAGGTCAGAATCTTGCTATATCTACAAAAACGTCAACATTTTGACAAAATAAACCGTTCTATAATGATTTGCATGACGTAGGAATCTAAAAAGCTTAGTAAAAGTATTAAATTTGGTACAGGGACGTGCTTTTTTTACTTTCCTGAGGTTGTGTCATTCGACTTATCCCCCTTTGCCGCTTTTTATGTCGTCCAAAGGAGTTAAGTCGACTTGTCTCCATGCAGTCAGTGCGAAAAAACGAGATAAGTCGACTTAACTACAGGGCCTCTCAATCCATGCTGTTAAGTCGACCCTACCTCCCAAGGGGGTTTTTGCTCTACAAGATAACTCCACTTATCCCCTTTTTTAATTGGCTTGTGAGCCCAAACTATAATCACTAGAATCAAACAGACTATTGCAAACGATGCGCAGGATCACGCTCTTTCGGATGGTCGTGAAAACCCCATTTCGGGATAAGTCGACTTATCCCCTTTTTCCGCTTCGCCACTGATTTCACAGTTGCTGCACTGTAAAAAAAATTTCTCGTATAATTAACGAACAAGGTAGGTGTACGCCAGACTGTGTCTTGTCGTAACAGGCTTCGCGATGCTGCGCCAGTTTCGACAATCCACGCCTGGCGTATACACCTACCTTGGCCTGCGGCGCTAACCTGCCTTCGGCAGGCTGCCTTCCTTGGCAGACCGTGGAAATGGGCGTGATCCCCTCAAAGAGAGCATTCGGTCGTAGGTCTGAATGGGTTCTATTTTCGTCATCAGCAGCCTCAAAAACATTTAAAACGACATTGAACTTGACAAAAAGTCGAAAGTTCCAAAAAAGTTGTCTTTTTCCTGCCGTTTTTAAAGTGTTTTTTTGGCTAATATGGCCGAATGGATTGAGATAGAAAGCTGAATTTTGGCGTGTGGCGAGCCAAGGATATGCCCAATGACCCTGCAAAATCTCAGCAGAATCGGCCGAGCCGTTTAGGAGTAGTGCGGACACACAGACACACACACATGAAAAACTTTTCAACCCCACTGGAGTAACAGGCTTCGCTATCGCTCAGCCAAAAAAGTTTGGGTAATTTTCTTGTAAGAACTGTTTGTAATTTTACAAAAGTGTCGTTAATTGAAGTTTTCGGCTCAATATTGAGATTTCCAGCTTCAGCAAGCGTGCTGTAGAAAATCATTCAAATTGTTTTTCTCGTAACAACAAATTTAAGTCCCCCAGATTTAGTTTTAAAAAGTTCACGAAATGTTTTCACATAAAAACGACAACTTCTCATAAGAACGTTACCCAAACCTTTTTGCGTTGTTTTTTGGCAATATATCGTACAGCCCCTTTATACAAAACATTTCGTAGTGATTTTGTCCGTAAGTCCGCCAATGTAGAAAGATTTCTCTCTTCACGAAGTGATTTTGGAGGATGTTTTCTTTAAATGAAACAAATCGTGTACAAATATTTCGTAAACTCGCCATATTTTTTCACAGCGCCGGCACGATGTAAGGGAGACTTGAGTTGGATACAGCAGAACTTGTGTATGTCACATAGCTTAAGTGATGGTTGCTAAAAACCCTTCGTATCAGAAGAAGATAACACTGTGGAAAAAAAGGGACATTTTCTCCGTTTATTTACGGCCAGAACTTTCCGTGATTTGAGACCCAGGATTTTCCGTGATTTCAGACACAGGATTTTCCGTGATTTCAGATCCAGGCTTTTTCCGTTGTTTGAAACCCAGAGATTTCCGTAGTTGGCACAGTGCGTTGAAAGGCCATGGCAGTAAAGGGCAGACTTTGTGAGGGAAGTTTCTAAACTTGGCCGAAGAAACACTAACTTACAAAAATAGATGCATTCGTCTTGTCAAAGTTAACAAAAAAATGTCATCCCACATCCTAAATACACGTTCGAAATGATGGGTTTGAGCTTCAAACATACCAAAGTTCCGTATCGGTATGAGATACATTGATTTTTGGCACTATTGACATGAAAAGGTGAAAAATCAAATATGTGGAAATGGAAAACTGACGACGGGAATGGATTCGTCTCAACGAAATGAAAAGAAACATACCCATAAGTCATAGGTTTAGACTCGAAATGGCCGATCTACAGAATCTAATAGGTCGATTTTGACACCCCTTTCTCAAAGGCGTTGCAAATACGTGCTAAAATCGACCTATTGGAAAGTTCTGGCCATAAATTAACGGAGAAAATGTCCCTTTATTGGCTGAGCGATAGCGAAGCCTGTTACTCCAGTAGGGTTGAAAAGTTTTTCCTGTCTGTCTGTGTGTGTGTGTGTGTGTCCGCACTACTCCTCCTGAACGGCTCAGCCGATCTCGGTGAGATTTTGAACACTTCTTGGGTATGTCCTTGGCTCGGCATAAGCGAAATTTCACCATCCTAGCTCAACTGGTTCAGTTTTTATAGCCGAAAAACACCTAAAAAACGGCGAAAAATAGAGCTTTCTGCAGATAGATCACTTCTGGCTTAGAGAAAGGGGGGTCTGGGGGGCGGAGCCCCCCAGCATACAACAAGTTAAAAAATGACCGAGGATGGACAAGTCATTGCCTGCCGCAGGCCAAGGTAGGTACGCCAGGCGTGGATTGGAGGAACAGCGAGACATCGCGAAGCCTGTTACGACAAGACGCGGTCTGGCGTAAACCTACCTTGTTTCCACAGTGAATCCACAAGTGAAAACCTCAAAGCGACAAGCTAGGCGGTCAATCCGTTAAGCTGTCGTAACTTCCTCAAATTTGAGTAAATTCAGCGCAGTTTGACTGAAATGAAGGCTAGCGCAATGATGGATATTTTGTTCCCATTTTCACCACAGGCGTTCTTGCGTGAGTTGGTGGCGGGTATCCACGAGGACCAAACGCGCGTCTTCGGATACACGGTCTGGAGCTTTGTTGACACTTTCGAGTACAGGAATGGTTTCTTGTAAGTATAAGAAAACAAAACAAAGCATTACGCCGCAGCAATGTTGTGAGGTTTCAACAGATTTGCTGTCTGCTGTCGAACAGGAAATCCATATAAACTCAAATTCTTTAGTGTTCATACAAAGTCCATGTCACATTACATTAAATTCATTGTCACTAAAACAGTTATGTCGTTGTTGAACCAATTTTCTGTTCAAAAACAATGACGCGAGAGCGAAATTTGTTTTCCGCGATGTTGGTGGCCATGTTAAATATTGAATTATAAATACTTGCCCAAAATATAAAAATTTACGCCACAATGAAAGGTATAGGGTGCAGATCAGGCGTAGCGGGTCGCACCACAATGTTACCTCAAACCGCTTGCATTTTAACCTTTGCAGAAACTGGGGCCTGATTCACGTGGACTTCGCAAGTGGATCGCTGAACCGCACTTTGAAAGCCTCGTCCACGTTTTTTAAGACGGCGACGAGGACCGGCTTCGTACCACTCGTCGAGGAAGGTTCCCGACCCTTCCCCGATCCCGATGCACCCTCCGGAGCAGCCAGCTTCTCTTCCACTTCCATCATTACGACATTGGCGGCCTTTGCGGCACTGACACGATTGCAATAGATTAAGGGGAGGTTCTGGTGAAAATGCTATTTTCTCCTATATAGGTCCCACTGTGAAAATTTGTTAAAAATCTGATGTCTTATCAAGTATTTATTAAAAATTTTCATTGGGGAGGCACATTCCATGCCCTGAACCCAGTCGCAGAGCCTTTTTCTCCCATTTAGACTATAACTTTAAAAATCTTCTTGCGCATACTATTTTGTCGTAAAAGGTTGGCTTAGACATTTTTCACTTCTTCGATTCATTTTTTAAAAATGCCGGCATGCACATCTCAAAATGTCAATTGCATTTTTATTCACTGTTAAAAAAAATTTCTGAATTTTCAGACTAATTTGAGTGAAGTACTTTTACATAAACTCGTTATTAATTTTCAGACTCGTCTTGGTCTGAAAATGAAGTCTTAAAATTCAGACATGGCCAAGTCTTAAAATTCCCACTGCTTTGTAGCTGAAAATTCATACTTTTTGTCCAAAATGTTAGAACATACTGTGTGAATTCATCCTGCAGCAATCGTGCGGAAAGGGCAGCCTATTGTGGTGGTCTAGACGCTTGTTAGGGCGGACCTACTGGACGGATAACGATTTTTCTCCTGTGAGGGAAAGAGCAAACTTGAAAGCGCGCCGCGATAAAAAAATATCAGACGAGATGGTCCGCAGTAAGACTGAGGCACTCGTCGTTCGAGGGCGGGAACTCATACAGAATCTCCCATGTGTGCCACAACATCACGGAGGATCATGCGGGCACCCAACCTAATGACCGAACGCAGACGCCAGCGAGAGCCATCATTGAAATGCGGTTTTATCGACTTCAGAGTAATATTTTGTTTCAAACTTATTGCTAAAGGCTAGAGCTGATAATTACTAAAGCAACAGATGATGCTGTTTGCAAAAATTATTTACTTTAATGACATTAATCGGAAATACAAAGTGGCGATCTGCCGCGGCGCTCCAGGCGCCACCTAGCGGCAGGTCCCTGAAACGTAACTCCAGGCGGCTGCAAGCAAGTGGACCAAACCATTTGAGAAGTGATTGGTCCACAGTTTGCATTCAACAAGCTCCCTCAACATAACAACTGCCAATATCATAATGCTTTGATGCGCGACGTTTGATTTTGTATATATGGTTTTGTATTAGTCAGCCTAATCTTATTTTTATGACTTCCCTCATTATGAAATTTCAGACATGGTACAAATATTCAGACCAAGCACGGTCTCAGACTGCCCTGTCTGACATCTCAGACAAAAGTTATGAAATTTCATAAAAAGGTCTTAATTGGTGTTTCATAACGTCAAGTCTGAAAAAAGTTGTCTGAATTTTCAGAATTTTTTAAACAGTGTTCGCAAGCTTTCTTACCAAGCATTTCACTATAATTGATCAAAAATGTACAAAATAGTCAAATTTTAGGGACTTTTCAGCTTTAAAAGCTAATAGCTAATAATATAATGGAAGTTTTGAGCTCTGCATGCCGGTATCTTTTGAAAATGAGTCGAAGAAGTGAAAAATGTCAAGGTCAACCTTTTACGACAAAATAGTATGCGCAAGGAGATTTTTTAAGATACAGCCAAAATAGGCTCAAAAAGACTCTTCGACTGGGTTTACAGCCTGGCATATGCCTTCAAGAGTCAAATTTTAGTCTCCTCAATGAAAAATTTTATATTCCAAACAAATTATGACTGTAGGATCCATTTGGAAAATGGCAAGATTTTCACCAGAACCTCCCCTTAAACTTTGATGAAAAAAAAAAAGAAACACGATGCCTTTGTGTCACCCTGCACGCATAATTCTTATGGACTTTTATAAATGCATGATGCATTTTTTATGCATAACAAGGTAGGTTTACGCCAGACCGCGTCTTGTCGTAACAGGCTTCGCGATGTCTCGATGCCTGTTCCTCCAATCCGCGCCTGGCGTACCTACCTTGGCCTGCGGCGCTAGCCTGCCTTCGGCAGGCAATGGTTGGTCCACCGTCCGTTACTTCTACCTTGTTGCATGCTGGGGGGCTCCGCCCCCAGACCCCCCTTCATTCTAGATAGAGTTGTTTCAACAGATATCACGATCTTGACCCTTGTCACTGTTTAACTTGTTGAGGCTCCCCTTTCTTTAAGACAGAAGTGACCTGCCTGCAGAAAACTCGATTTTTCCCCGTTTTTAGGTGTTTTTCGGCTATAAACACTGAACCAGTTGAGATAGGATAGTGAAATTTCGCGTGTGCCGAGCCAAGGACATGCCCAAAATGTGTGCAAAATCTCACCGAGATCGGCCGAGCTGTTCAGGAGGAGTAGTGCGGACACACACACACACACACAGACGGACAGACAGACAGGAAAAACTTTTCAACCCCAATGGAGTAACAGGCTTCGCTATCGCTCAGCCAATAACACGATCTTGTCCCTTGGAACTTTTTAACTTGTTGAGGCTGGGGGGCTCCGCCCCCCCGGACCCCCTTTCTTCAAGACAGTAGTGATCTGCCTGCGGAAAACTCGATTTTTCGCCGTTTTTTATGTGGTTTTTGGCTATAAAAACTGAACCAGTTGAGCTAGGATGGTGAAACTTCGCGTGTGCCGGACATACCCAAAAAGTGTGCAAAATCTCACCGAGATCGGCCGAGCCGTTCAGGAGGAGTAGTGCGGACACACACGCACGCACGCACACGCACACAGGAAAAACTTTTCAACCCCACGTGAGTAACGGGCTTCGCTATCGCTCAGCCAATAACATTTGGACGTATCTGTGCATACATACCTGAGCATTAAAAAGTCTATAAGGATTTAGTGTGTGAATTCGGAACAATCGACGGAGTATGTAAATAAGAGCCTTCCAAGTATCGGCCCGATTGGCGAATCCGTTTGGGACGCACAGTTTTAGCCATCGCAAAGGCTGTCAGTTGTGTTATATTTTAGGGGGTAAACAAAAACAAGGTAGGTGTACGCCAGACAGTGGCTTGTCGTAACAGGCTTCGCGATGCTGCGCCAGTAACTTACCTGGTTGGATTCATAGGGAATAGGGTACTTTCGTAGATCCTGAACCGGAAGCAAGCAGACGCCATATTGGCCGGAAACTAACCTCTCTCCGGATCTAAAGCTATAGCGGAGCTGTACAAATGTTGCTCGCGGGACACATGAATCAGGCGACTGTTTGTTCAAGTGTGGCCGATACGTTTGACTGTCGTCTCGTTCTTATGTCAAGTTGATCTACTTCCGCCAACATGGCGTCTGTGTGCTTCCGGTTCAGGGATCTATGAAAGTACCCTATTTGTGCATCATTTTGCCATCTCCAGTTACGGAGGTGGCCGTGCACCCCACTACAGCACATGTTCTAGTTTTAGGTCTGCCCATTATACCTCTAAACGAAATCAGAAGTGCATGAGACCTAGATGACACCAATGCCGATTTTGAGCAGGAGCCCTTCTTATCGTCTGCTTGCGACTGTTTGTTTACTATTTACTGTGCTGCGTTCTTGTCGACAAGACCAGAAAATCACAGAAAAGAGGTGAACTCACATACAACAATAAATCGGGATTGCTTTGGTTATAGAAAATAGTGGTACAGTGTTCTGCTTTTTAATAATACTCTCAACTTTGATAACTATCCTGGTAACAGTGGAGGAACATAGATTGCTTCGGTAGGTTGGCAAGAAAGTGGAGCGCGGGGGTGAGGGGGTGTGAGGGGATCCCAACAAGAAACCGGAAACAGTACATAGAGCTGCCGGCCTGCGACCGTCACTGAGCATTAGGGCCCCTCGATTTCCGTGTTTTGCGAGGTCTCGCGGATCGTTCCCACACCAGCCATTGGTGTTGCAGCCCCCTGGGCGAGCTTTAAGACCTTGCAAAATCTCAGCCAGATCGGCCGAGCCGCTCAGGAGGAGTAGTGCGCACAGACACGCGCGCGGACACACACACACACACACACGCAGACAGACGAAGTTTCTTAACACCATTGGAGTAACGGGCTTCGCGATGCTGCGCCAGCTCCGACAATAGGGTACTTCGTAGAATACCCAGAGACCGGAAGTCAGCGCCAGATCGGGAGAAACAAAAGAGCGTCGGGAGGTCGTGCTGAGCGGTGGTGGGGGTTGAAATCGGCGGAGTGGGGGTGAAAGCAATCAATTTAGCAGCTTCTTGAAAGGAATTCAAAGATTGAGCAACAACACCACAGAAGGAGAGGACACCTGTCAGGCTAGATGCAGTATTAATTTGATTAACAAAATACTCATTAACGATTGACTTCTTTCCTTCCACAGTAACGGCAGCCGCGCATTGAGCCACATTTTTGTGGATTGACATTGATGCCACGCACAAGACTCCAAGCACCTTTGGCCGCTGATTGAACAGCGTGCAAATGTGACAGTGAACGAGACCAAACGTCAACCAGACTTTTCAGAGAATTTACTAACTCATCAAGACGGTCTAACTGAATCTGCAACGCTGCACAGAAATCTTGGCAGGCTTTCGTGAAGTCTGAACAGAATGGATTGGGAAGCGGAGCGAGTCGGAAGACTCTCTCGTCACACATCACCACTCCAAAAGACCTGATTGGACATCAATGCAGCATTCGGTTTCAACTTTTGAGCCGAAATAGATTCCAGTTTCGTTTTCAGCACCCTCCAAATCAGACGATATGATGAAAAATTTGACATGAATATACGTCAGTAAATAGTCAATTTTCTGCCGTTTAAGCGCGTTACAGCTGACCACATGGATTGAGATGGAAAGCTGAATTTTGGTGTGTCGCGAGCCAAAAATATGCCTTATCACCCTGCAAAATCTTAGCAGAATCGGCCGAGCCGTTTAGGGAGCAGAGCGGACACAGACAAATAGACATGAAAAATTTTGCAACCTTACTGGAGCTATCGCTCAGCCAACAACTAAAATTGCTTACCACCATGCACACGTTTACACTCGTATAACTCAAGCGTACTTAAACGCCTTTTTCTTGCGGTGTGGTGGGTGATTGTGTCGGTGGGTGATTGTGTCGGTGGGTGATTGTGTCGGAACGCTTTGTA